AAATCACAGTGCTTTCGCCGTGACGTTAAAATCGCATCCCTCGCTTTGCTTCATGGTTGGCGCCACCTTTTGTGGCATAAGTCCTCTGTGATTGAGCCTGGGACCCCAATTCGAAATCAACCAGATTTATAGTGGTTTAGGTTTTCTTTGCAGGGATGGGATTTAGGATCGAGGAGTTCTTGAAATTTCCTACTGGGAGATTCCTGCTTCCGCATTGTCCCCCAGAGAGTCTACAACCCCTATATATCTATATATATATATAGGGAGATGCCGAAATCGGCCGAAGAGGCCTGAACGTGGCTTTGTGCTCCTCCTGCACGCCGAGCTCGGCCAGAAACCCACCTGGTGGATGTCCGTGTCAAACCCTGGAAATCCATGAACAGCTTCTGTGCCATTGCACCATGCCATGGCAGTTGTAGGCCTGTGTGGACATAAGTTTTGGGCGTGGAGTTCAAGGATGAAGGCTTTTCGTGCTTAGGAGTCAGGATTTAGGTGTTCAGGTCCATCTGTATCAGCTGAATGGCTGATGTTGTAGGCATAAGCGTCTCGGAGCTCTGACGCTGCAGGAACCATCTTGCACAGCTGGTGCTCGTATCGAAGGACTGCTGGATCTCCAAGAGACCTTAGCAAGCGCATGCTCTGAGCAAAAACGGCCCAGAACGACTGAGAGTTCCCAGGGCCCAGGACCGGTGCTGCCATGTCTGCCCACTCCACCTCCTCGCTGCTATGACCATGAGCCAAGCGGCACCAACCAAGAGGAGAGCGAGTCATCCTTCCGAGGCAACACCACAAAATGAGCCCTGCGGCTTCCATCACGAATGACATTCAAAACCCTCAACCCGTCCTCCCTGATCCCTGAACTTTGAACTCCCAAATCCTGTGCCTCAAAACACCCAAAAAGCCATAAAGCACTCAGACTCTGAACCCCTGACCCTGCTCCAGCCTGGAGTCTCGGTCGCTTCTTGGGCCTTGGGTGCATCGTCTTGGGAGTGAAGACTACGCGATTCTTGTATAGTTCGGGATGCTATTCCAGGATTCCTCATTCTGCCTATACGCATGAAGCATACGAAAGACCCCCTTGCATTCGTTCACACATCTGTGCATGCATCAGTGCAAGAACTCGAAAACCCCTCCAATCAAACCCACCCGAGACACCAAGCCAGAAACAACAAAAAGGCGACATCCCTTTGCAGCGTCGGCACATACTTTCTGGAGACTGTGGAGGCTGCAATACGCCGGGGGCCGAGGTCGTCAGTGGAACCAGAGCCGGGGCCGGCGGCCGCAGGAGCACGCTGCCAGGCATCACCTGCAAAACTCGTGAATCACTTTAGTCGGGTCGGTGCAAGCTTTAGAGAAACTCGAGAGCTCGAAACGCGACCGAACACTTTGAAACCGAAACTACTCGGTGCTTCCCGAATGCCGAACCTGGTAGATCAACTGACGAACATTCGGCGCCGGTGGCACGAAGCAAACCTGGTCATGCAGTTTCAGCTCCTGCTGGGTCTTCGGCTTGAGCTTGATACCTCGACAGCAGGGCAGCAAGGCCGTCCATGACCACGTCATGTCTCTGCGGACTGCTTGAATCAGCCTCTTCCAATCTTAGGCCTAACGGATCCTAACGGCCTAACACCTCGTCTTGAACTCCCTGCAAACAATGAAGGCCAACATACCTGCTCGAGGCCTTGATGCGGCGAGCTGCCTTCAAGTTGGCCGACAACAAGCCAAAACAAGGTTGCTATTTCTGCTAAGTTTCCATTGACCCAGGTTCCGTTGCTCGATGTGTCTTGGACAGTCAATTTCCACGAAGCCGGGACAGAAGATGTGTCTCTGAACAGGCGGAGGACGGCATGAGCCTGTAGCCATCGTCCGGTCGGGTTAGGACTGGGGAACCACTACATCACAGCGAAGGCGATAGCACGGCAGTATGCAGTATTGTACCAGATAGGATAGGATTCCAAAAAAACCTCGGCCTGGACTGCTTCTGAGTACACCTCCTCTTCTCGACTGGCTCCTGGCTCCTGGCCTTGGACACGTGCGCCAAACGCAGTGCCACGGGGCCATCGCGGCCACAGACCACTGCGGGCGAGTTCGTCGTGATAAGCAGCACCTCACGTGCCGAGCAGCTTCGTGTGAACTTGTCCTTCACGCTTTCACAGCAGAGCAAAACCCCAAGTTCCCCCAACTACCATCATCGCTTGAAAGGAGCCTCTGGGGGAACGGGGTTCGGCCACTCCAGAGCCATCTCCCCATCCAGCCGGCGGAGGATGTAGGCTGCCTCGTCGTCCTGGCAGGCAGCGTCTATGCAAATTCGGAATTTCGGCGCCTTTTTTGGGGGCCCGAAGCCTGAACCGGCTCTCCTCGGCACAGCTGCGCCTGGCAGGGCTAACTCCGCAGTGGCAACTCCCTTTCGCTTTGCTCTGCTTTTCCAAGCCTTGCCTTAAGGACGTCGTAGTCCCGCAGGGTGCAGATCGCTGGGAAGGTGGGAGTCCGTGCTTGACACGGCCAGTACAGGCAGCGCCCTGCACCGAGGCAGCTGTAGCTCTGAGCTTGAGATTTTGCAGCACGGGAAGGCAACCGCCGTGCCTGCCAGAGTCTCGTACATTGCCTCGGAAGGTGCTACATGGGCACAAGGAGACATCCTGATCGGATCAATCGGATCATTGGCAGCACGTAGCTTGTAACATGGCTACCAAACCACCCTGCCAGAACCCAAAAACTGTCATCCCCAACAACAATCCCCAACAAAAACCGGTGAATTATCGCACTTTTCCCGAATCCGACTCTCTAAGTTGATCCCAGCTGCGAGAGCTGCAGAGGCCCGTTCGAAGAGCGCCAGGAGCACAATGCGCCCCGAATCTCGAAGCACACGCTCGAGGATTAAGAGCCTCTTGGAGGGACAATCCTACTGTGTGATTTCGAGTTTTGTGGTGAATATTGTGACAGCATTTGTACCTGCGGTGGCAGCCGCAGTGGTGTTTTTTTGTCTTACTGCGTAGTGCGCTATTGCAGTAATGCGAGTGGTAATGAGCAGCAGTAGCGGCAACAGAAGCAGCAGCAACAACAGTCGTTGTAGTCGTCGTCGTCGTAGTAGAAGTAGTCGTCGGATTCTTTGTAGTAGCACTACTGGTAGTTACAGCATGATTAGTATCCTGACATCAACTCCTTTTCGGGCAACTTAGGTTGAATGGAAGCTGAGATCCGGGCTCCGAGCCTGTTCATCGCTCATCCGTTTCTTCCTATTATATTATATTATGTTATATTATACTATATTTTGTTATATTGCATTATATTATATTATATTTTCCCTCACTTCATTGGGCTGTCTAGGGCTATGCAATGCAACTCTTGACATCCTCGAGGCAGGCTATCAAGTTAGGCACTGGAAGCAGCTCCAAAATCCTCGCCCTATATATACACACAAATGTATGTCTATCTATCTATCTATCTATCTATCTATATATATATATGCATGCGTGCATGTACATATGTACGCATGTGTACGCATGTAACTTATGTCTGTGTTTGTGATTGTTTGTGGTCATATACATGTATTCATGTCTCACTGTGAGACCCTCTCTCTTTTTCTGTGATTGCCCGGGAACTCTCCAAAGAGTTCGAAGAACCGCTGCCAGTGGCATCCGGGGCGAAGCGCTGACACGGGGTTGGCGGCATCTTCAACCATGCCTTCAACGCGACAGGGCAGACGCGGAAGTAGTCTCGTGCGAAACGAACACCAAAACCTTCACAAGCCCCAAATTCCTAAGGCCAAGCGGCGCGAGAAACCCCGATCACGCCATGCCGGCTGTGCAACATCAGCCAGCAGCTGAACACTCCGAAAGCACATCAGAAGACAGTTCTGATTGTCGCTTAGAGAAGACGCACTATGTGCAGTATTCATTCCAATGTCAAACAATCAACAACGCTCGTGATCAATGGCACCATGCTTCTGACTACTACTGATCATTAATGCTACTTCCTATTTCTCAACGAAGTAGCATTCATCCGCCATTGCCTCTGCAAATAATTATCCTTGATGATAGCCCTGAAGCGAAAAACCCTTTGGCTCGCCGAACTTTACAAACCTCTGAACCCTCAACCACCATAAGCCCTCAATCCTAAACCCTAAATTCACCACTTTCGACCCCCTTTCTGCAGATGTGCACTATTGTGGGATGACTTTCCCGCCTCCCCAAAATGTATGTAACAGACACTGTCGCATGGGCCGGGACCGTCCCGGGCGATTGCGCATTCGAAGTCTTCGAAGTGCTTCGACCAGACTGTCTTCCGATGTGCCTCTGCCTGCTAAACGCCTAAACCCTGAACCCCTACACTCCTAAAGCCCTAAACTCCTACAACCCCAAACCCCTGAAGCCCGAAACTCCTAAAGCCCTAAACCCTGAACCCCTCAACCCTGAACCCCTACACTCCTAAAGCCCTGAAGCCCTAAACTCCTACAGCCCCAAACCCCTGAAGCCCTGAGAGCCCTGAATGCCTGGTACCCCCTAGCCTTGGGGCACCCAGCGAACCGGTAGCTCCAGGGCCAAGCCCGGGCTCGGCTCTCGCTCCCAAAGACGCAGGGCAGCCAGCCGAGCCCTGTTTTGGGTTAGGGCCGGTTTGGGTTTAGGATTTAGGGTTTAGGCTTTAGGGTACCGGATTTGGGGCCATTTAGGGTTTAGGGAACAGGTTTTTGTGTTCGGAGGGGCTTCTGAGGAGCTTTGGGTGTCGGTCCAGTCTGCTTTGCTTCAGGGTCTAGCAAGTCTTGCGGCGCCGGGTACAGTATGGTAGTGCACAGAGGCCAAACAGGCCTCGGGTACGATTTGTTTCGGGATTTCGGGCTTGAGGAGCGCAATGTAAAAATAAGCAGCACCTGACATGATCCCACCTGCCGTGCTTCTTCTCTGGGCTCAGGTCCGCTGTGTCGAATGTCGAGCTCCAGCTTGCCCATGCCTTCCCATTTGCGGGGACTGATGGCATCAAGGGTTTCGGGTGAAGCTCAAGCTGAAGTTGTTCATCCTTTGTCTCGCACCCTGCTGCGGGCGATAGGCTGGTCGGGTTTGCAATTTCGATCAACCCTCACCTAAAAAAACACAAAGCCTCTCTGCATCTCCTGACTTGCACTTTACATATGTCTGACAGTAGTAGTGTTCCCACCCGCGTTCTCCTGCTACCACTCTAGAGCATTCTAAACATTATTGAGGCCCTTTGAACTAGCACAGGAGTCGAATAGCCATTTCCCGCATGCATTGATTGCGGATGGATGTTAGAACTACTGCCAGATGTGACATACTCGATTGAACTGAATCGAAAGGACCACAGAGGCGAGAAACCAAGAATCCCAAGACCCACACCCGTACGTCCTGGACCCTGCCATCAGTTATATTTATAAACCATGATCCAGAAACCGCGGAAACCGAAGCGCTCCTACCAAAGCTCGCCTGATCCTCTAGCAGCCCACGCTTACCAGACCAAAGCGTGCGCCGCACCGCCTCGCAAGCAGACCTGGCCCGAATCTTGCTGGGGTTAACTATCCTGGTTGTTGATGCGGCTACTATTCTGCTGCTGCTCTGTTTATGAACTGTTTGAAAGGGCTTAGTGTAGCAGTGCAGCTATTCTCTTACCCTGTTCATGGGTACTTGAAGCTCGTGTGCCATGTCAGAATGTCCGAAGACTGAATCATCACATGCCCGCAAGAACTTCAACAAGGATTGAGAGGCAGATTGCCGATGATGTGGGCATGCAGCAGCCGCTGGCCTCGTGAAACTAATCTCTTTCCAGCTTGAGAACAATGGAGGCTCTATCGAGAACTCGAACCTCAGGCTTCTCACTTAGGAGGCTCTCCAATGTGACTTGAGATGTCTGGTCTTCTGTGCGTCATCCTTTTCCGAGGAGTGGTGTTGGCAATCCCGGCAGGGGAGAAACCAAGCTCCAAAGTTTGTGAACGCCGGCGAAATGCGGTACCACCGAAGCCCAAAACATGAGTGCGGCCCAAATACGTGTCGTCAGCCAGACCGGCTTCCAATGGACGGCCGCCAGGACTGGAGAGGGCCCCAAAAAGGAGACGAAGAATCAGCTATTCACATACAGACCGGTGTGTACGTGTGTGCCTTTGAATACCTGTGTGTGTGTATATATATATATACAAAGATACATACGTATGGAGACGCAAGACAGCTCAGCCTGATCTGCCGAAGGAGTATTTCTATAATTTCCACAAGTTTCAAGACGACAAAATCACGGACCATGCTCCGCACAGAGTTTAGGGTCTGGATGCGTTTGGGATTTGGGGCTTCGGGGTTACAGGTTAAAGTTACTCGTTCCGGGCTTGATTAAGCTTGGGGTTTTTATTTCAGGGTATTCAGCCGCAGGCACCGCATGTTCCGGCCATGTCGGACTGCAGGGCAGCCCCAGCCGCCTGCCGCAAAACGTGCGCACCTCCCAAAACCCTGCGCTAGAGCAAGAAAGCCCCAAAGCCCTAAAAGCCTCCATGCCAGTTCCCCCAGATTGAATAGGCACGCGTGGGGCCTCCAACAGCCTCGCCCAGCGCTCTTCATCCTCGAAGCGAGGCTCTGCGAAGCTTGCCTCCAGAACAGCGACCACAGGTGCCAGCAAGCACACGGTCCTCAGAAAGCCACGTTCGGTAGGCTGTTAGGGCTTATACGGGCTTCAGAAGGTCATTCAAAGTTTAGGGCAAGCCGGGTGTCTCGGAATCCCCCCAAGTTCCCCAGCGGCCATACCAGACAGGTCCCCTGTCTTCCATGGCACCGATGCAGGTCTCCCATGATTCATAAGCTCAGTCTCGGCTTGGAGTTAAGGCTTAAGCTGTAGGACTTCGGGCTTCAGGGTTCACTAGGTCTGGGTGTGCGGGAACGCCTGCCAGGCGTCGCCAACGGGCATAGTGTTTCTGCCGCTTCGCGTCCCCAATGTTGTTGATATCGGTTCTTCGTTGTCATAGTGGTTTAGTTGTGAAATCTTGAGTTCTTGCAAAATCGATTTCTTGAATACCAACATGTTTAGTTCGAGTAGCTCACTCCCGCTTGAAGGATGACGCTGCTCACAACTTGTCTGTTATATACTGCATGGCCGTAGGCATGTCTAAGTCTAAGCCAAGCCAGAATGCGGAGATACGATCAGGCGCAGGCAGCTCCCTCAGGAAAATGTTGAACGCAACTTAACTCAGAAAGCTCCAGAAGTGCCTGCGCAGCCGTGAATCTTTCCAGATCTGTGACCTGGGAATAGATCGGGCAGTAGCCAAGCAAGCCACCAACCGTTCGAATCTAGACAAACAAACACAGCGCCGAGACCCGTCGACATACTCTCTTTGTATTGCCAGACAAGGCAAACTTGCCAAGCATGCGGCCGTAATGTTCACTGTTGTCCCACCACCTGGTGGTCCTACAGCTGGTTGAAGCCGCTGCATCGTCCTGGTACCGAACAGATTGAGCTGCTCGTCTGCGAGTCCTATCTGATATAATCTGGGTGCCGAACAACAGCGTGTCGAGGGCGGAGGTCTGAAGTTATTCAAGAAGGAGACATGGCACGGAAACTGCTCAGATCTTTCAGAGGTGCTCGCATCATTGGCAAGAGCCATAGAGAGGGTGAAGGCCGTGATCGCCCCATCAGGCAGGAAGACCTCGGCTTCTGTCGAAGCATCCGGGAGAACTGCCAATGAGGAATGCACAACGCCCACGGCATGCCTTGATCTGAATGCTGTCGAAGCCGTCGTAGGGCAGATAGAGCACGTTGTTCGTGCATCTGTCCAACCAGACGAGAATGAGCCGAACAGCGCGAGGCTGCAAGATGCTTGACAGCCTCTCGTAGATCATGCCTTGCACGCGGGAGTTAACCTCAAGGCAACCCAGATGCATATGATGCTTCACCGGAACTCGTGATCGTGAGTTCACGACGCTGGCACACTCCCCTTTGACAATGGCCCAGTCCTGACTTCCCCAGACTGCGACTGCCCCTCTTTCGGGAAAGTCTCCCCTCGGAAAGCCCCCAGTCCTGGCTGTCGTCTCCGATCACGGAGCGGCCGACGGAGCCTACGTGCCGGGCCTGGGGAGATGCGAAGAAACCGAGAGACTCGCCACGCGATGGCTCTGGGGCTGTCGCTGCCACAGGCTGGCTATCAGTGTTGCTGAAGGGATCCTTGGAGTGCACGAAAGCTCTGATTGAGGTCCCAAGCCCTAGGCGGCTTGCTTCCACTCCCTTCTGGCAAAGTGCAGGGTGCCCAGGACCCCGGCTGGAGCGAGGATGAAGCCATTTAATGCCCGCGCATGTACCTGTGGAGGTATTCCGCCAGTCTTTCCAAGCTAGAGAGTAGCAAGGTGCTGCTGAGAGGGCCTCCATGATTCCATTGATACTGGTGCAATCAAAGCCGAGGCCGGCTATCGACGAGTCCCTGGTGGAATCTCCGCTTAAGATTAAGGCTCGACTCATGTGAGATGTTATTGGATGTGGCATCTGCGGTTGTTCAACATCCACTGTTATTGGGTATTTATTGCAAACGGGAAGGATAGCTAAGACCCAGACCAGCATGTTGGAAGTGTTCGGCCATGAACTGGAAGTAGAAGGGCTGCGATCGCAACCAGGTGCCACATCTGCGTCCTGAAGCAAACATTCCCTCTGCCCCCCGGCTGGTCGCAATTCGCTGGTACCGCTGGTGCTCTCACAAGTTGCTTTCGGTTGCGACTGAAGCTCCGGCAGACTAGGAAAAGATGGCCGCGCGCCACCTCAATAGCCTGCCAGCCCCGCTATGCGGTGTCTAGACTCGGAATCAACAGGAGCAGCGAAAGTGACGTCAGAAGCGAAAGTTCTCGAAAAGCCACACACCCGCGCCTGCAAACCACACCAAGCATCCCAGCCTGATGTCAGCATGCTGTTATCAACGGCAGTACATGTATGTGACTCATGATCTGAAGACCACTGATACGACTGGCAATAAGCACACATACTTTCTAACAAAAGGCGTCAAGAAACACAATAGCAGCGGGAGTGCCAATAAGACTGACAAGGCCACAGTGAACCACAGCAAAGCACCTGTGAGGCTGTCGTCTACAATTATTCTGGAACTTTTCTCGTGATAACACTAGCTGCTAACTTTTATGCTGGTTGCAAACTGTTCTGTAATTTCGCAAGGCTACTAGCTTTGCGCACGTAAAGGAGCTGTCAAACACAAACGTCCAGATGCGAACTCGACTGACTAAACTCGACAAACAAACTAAACTGCAGCACTCCAAGATCCAGAGTAATCTTGCCAAGATGCTTGCTTCTGGATTGCACTGCTCTGTTCTGAAGCAACGGATCTTGTGGGGACGGACATGGAGACGAGACATGTGAAGACAAAGCCGTGACGGACTGAGCGACTCATACTAGAACGCCATCAAAGGAGAGGTCGCAAGCGCACACAAAGCTGAACTATTGCAGAAACCGTCATTCTGACATTATATAGAATCCAGCCGTTAACTCTGCTACATGCCTCTGCTCCTGCAGCTGTTTTCCGCCGAGTTGCATTTATCCTGGGGGCTGTCCACTGGGGTAGCCCACACCAGAAAGTGCTGGGAAAGGGTGTTGAGCCAAGCTGAACGGCTTATCGAGTCAAAAGCTGTCGCCATTGCCAAACATCTGCCAACATACAGATCGCTCATTGTCTACTGTTCGACACGAGAAGCATGTCACACGCCACGAAGCACAGAACTGGCCAGAAAATATTTTTCCCGAAAGCTTTGCGGAGGGTTTTTCCGTGCGGAGCCCTCGAGAAATACATGGGATAACTTACATAGATCAGTTATACATCGAGACTGATACATCGAGACTTAAGTAAGTTAAGTTAAGCTAAGTTAAGTTAAGTTAAGTTAACTTACGTAAGTTAAGTTAAGTTCAGTTAAGTTAAGTTAAGTTCAGTTCAGTT